AAGGGATCCTAGCACTAATCATCCTATATCCTTGCTCCAAGTTTCTGGGATTCACTATATAGGTATAGCATGAAAGGCGGCATGCTCGAACCCTTCCAGCTGTCATCCGCTTCGAGCATGTGGCTTTGGATCCCCTAAGCATCAATGCCTACACCTCAGACCCTCATCCCCAAACCGTGGGTTAAATCGGTGCGGCAATGGAGTACCGCTGCGTAAAGTGTAAAGAGCATTGATACTCGCTCTGATCATCGTTCCTAGGTGCTTTGTGTGCGTGATGTTCTGTAGAAGTCTTCTCGTCCTCAGAGCATGAGCTGAGGCCTTGAGATTTGCGGTTTAGGGGTTTAGGGTTTCAGGGTTTAGGAATTTTGAGTCTTAGACTTTCGGCTTTAGGGAACAGGGCTTGTGTGTACTTGGCACTGGAGATATGACAGTTGTCACGGTTCGAGCTTGGGAGATGATGTAGCGTAGACCTGAACAGTACATAATTTTTCCGATGCAGCTGTAGTTTATACAGCAAACCCCCAAGCCCGAATTATGTTGTTTGACATTTCCGTAATTCTTTGACTTGGGTTGATGTAGATTACTCAAGGGTTGCTAAGGTCGTCGGATGCATTCTTGCCGCAGAGTTCTGTGCATCCATCCTTGATCAGTCTGAAGATCTCTTCTCTGAGGGTAAAGCCAGCTACATCCCAACCCCCGAAAACCCAAACCTCTCGGCCCTGCACTCTGATCTGCAAATTAAGTCCACGGCCTTAGTCCCCAAACCCTCCACTACTTCCAAAGTCCCCAGCCCCTAAGCCCCCACACCCGAAAACCCCAGGCCCATGCCCCAAGATTTTCGTTGAGGCATCGAGTTCAGGGTTCAAGACCTCACGGCCCCTTTTCGGGATTGCAGAGTTCATGCAGATTCAGTTTGCTGGGAGAGGGCCGTAGAGGGCCTGTGTAGCTGGTGATCTCCCCTGATATCCTTGGAATATTTAAATTCCAGTCGTCATTGATTGCTTTCGCAAAGCTGTGAAAAGATGCTGCAGCCCTTGTATCTGTCCGCAGACTCGCTTATCGACCTCATCAGTCCCCCAGGTGTAACAAGCAAGCAGTCCCTTTAATGTTTTCTAAGGGCAGGGTTCCGATTAAGGGGTTGCCTCAAGCCCATAACCCTAGACATAAGCGGCTCCGTTTTCGGGTTCCTTAAAACTTTTTTTTCATTTCTTGACCCCCAACCCCACGCCGGGGGGGGGGGGGGGGGGGGG